GTATGTGTGTCTATGTACGTGTGTGTGTTTTTGTGTCTATGTATGCACGTGTGTGTGTGTAGGTGTATGTGTGTCTATGTACGTGTGTGTGTTTGTGTCTATGTATGCACGTGTGTGTGTGTGTATGTGTATGTGTATGCCTATATGTGACTCTGTGTATGTGTGTATTATGATGGCATGGTTTTGAAAACACTTTACCAGGGAAAAGGAGGTGTTTCATGAAACTTGTTGTGTGACCTTGGTGGTTCAATCCTCTCTGGTCTCCGTGTCATCTATAAAAGTAAGAACATGAGGGGCTTGGTCTCTAAACTGTCTTCCAGTTCCAGCCTGGCTCTGCTGCATGATACTCCCTGCCTCCCAAGGGATGCATCCATGTATGGAGGACCTGCCACATTCCTTCCTGGGCTGCCCTCTTCCCCAGGATGCCTGCCCTTCTCCTCTGCCTAAGGGACAGACAGGCCACAAAGGGGTAAATTGCCCATACCTGCTCTAATGTCTGGACACCTTGATGCTATGACTCAATTTTCCTTGCGGGCCCTGCAGGCCTTCGCAGAGCACGCACGTTCATCTTCCCAGCACGGCCCAGCCCTGCCAGGCAGCAGCCAGCCCTCCCAGCACCGGCTGTTCTGTCCCAGCTCGATGCCTCCACCTCCCCCTCCTGGGAGCAAAGTAACTCATCACTGTGTTTTGACTGCAGCCACGTGCACCCCCTGCTCTGGCTCCTCCTGCCTCTTGGGAATCAGCAGTGGCTGAGCCGACAAAAACATTCCACCCCAAGTGTTCCAGAAGCTCAGAGCAGCAGCCCTAGGATCATCACTGCAGCCCCATGAGGACTGCCGGGGCGCAGCTCTGTCTCCCTGGGCCCAGGGGACTTGGGGAAGGAGTCTGTCTGACTGGAGATGGAGGGCAGGGCGCCTGGACAGACTGAACAGAGGCTCGGCTCTCAGGCTCCTCAATGAGAGCTCCTGAGAGGCTGGTGATGGTGCTACCACCCCCAACCTCCCCCGACAAAGTGGAATCTGTCTGCAACCCCTGTTCCTTAACAGAGCTGGCAAATGAATATGGTGAAAAGAACCAAACGCTGACACCTAAAATCCATCTTCCTAGGACTTCCCAAGAATCTCAACTTGCCAGGGGCCTGCTCTGTGGATGAGAGCAGTGGAAACCATGTCCAACCCTGGCACATAATAGGTGCTCAGTAAATACCATTCAATAGACCTTTGCTTGCAACTTGAATCATTGTTTTAGGTTTCACTAAGAAAAAAACCCTCTATTGAAACCTTAGCACGTCACGCATTGTAAGATAAAACTTGATTTCAGAGATATTAAAAGCTAAACGAGTGCATTTGAATCAACGACATAGGGTACCTGTTAAGTGAGGGGACAAATAAGCACACGGCGGGAGGTTTAGGTTTACAGTTTTGTATTTACAGATAATGCTACTACTGACTTTGTGACCTTGAGGAAATCACTTTCCATCCCTAGACCTCCGCTTCCTCACCAGTCAGGTGGGATTCACCGTCCTCTCCAGCAACCCCAGAAGGCTACTGCAGAAACCTGACAGCATCCAGGCAGCAACAAATCTTCAAAAGCTGCAAAGCTAGGAACCCAAGATGCTCAGTCAACTAGTGAAATCCTCATCCAGGGTATTTACTGTCAGTGTATTTGCTGTGTGACTTTGGATAAGTTGCTTTGCCTCTCTGGGCTTCCGTTTCCCCCAGTATCACCTATAGAGACAAAGGTATATATGGAATATCAGAGGAGGTGATGTTTGTAAGGTGCTTAATGCCATGCATGACATGTGGCAAACCAGGGCCATGGACACCAGCTACCATTGATGTGTGTACACATAGTCACATTATCTGAGTGGTGGGAAGCATGCTTCCAGTAGCCTGGCTCCCTGTTTTCTTTAAATCACCATTTGTATCTCCAGTGCCTTATAGACAGTAATTTGCTCTTTGAACAATCTGATGAATGAAAGGATGAACGAATGAATGAATGAATGAATGAATGCATACTCTTGGGTGTGCAGGTAAGGCTGAATTCCACAGGCATCAACTCTTTAAATCACCCACAGGCAAAACAAGAAACAAATCACCCTGGAGATCGTGCAGCCTCGCCCCCATTTCATAGAGAAGGAAACGGAGGCTCTGAGAGATCCAGGAAGTTGCCCAAACCCACACTACCCACAAATAGACTCCAGATCAAGCCCCCAGCCGCCATCCCCAGTATTTCTCCTTCAGCCTCAGACCCTGGGCCAATGTCCAGTCCCTCTCCGACTCCAGTGACCAAGGGCACACTCTTCCTAGGGTAAGCATTGTTCCATTTTCTCTGCCACAAATGCTTCCCCAGGAAGCCCTGGGAGGAGAAACTGCCGCTGCCTCCAGGGCCTCAGACCCGGCCCCATTATCATTCCTCGCGGTGTAATAAATACGTTTAAGAGAAACAGATGCCGGAACAGTTGGACAGGAAGGGCCCAGGCCTGTGAAGAGGAATCTGGTTTGTGAAAATCTGTCTCTTTGCCAGACGGTGAGCAGGATGCCGCAGCCAGCCAGGTGCGGGCCCGGCTGCCAGGTGGGCTCATCCAGCCTTCCTGCCACGCCTGCAGGCCCCTCCGGACCACCATCCTCAGGTGCTCAAATGGGCGTCCAGTTGTCGTGCCTGCTGCAAAGGGCCCCAGGATGCCGATGAAGGCCCCTTAATCACGTAGGCCACTTCGGTGGGAGGGGGGCCTCTACCTCGAAACCCGTAGCAACTTACGCAAAGCGTGGCAGGGACGGGGAGGCATCTTCCGACTCAGACACACCACTGTGAGTGGCTCTTCTCTTCCATCGCTGTCTGAGGATGCTTGTGACCTGCAAGCAGCGACCTTGATACCTGACCGTTTGAAACTGTGATAGGAAAGGGTCCCCTGATTGCCTTTTCTGTCTGGTGAGTCTCTTCACTCTCCCTGCATGGAAAAAAAAGAAATGTGGGCTGATTTACAAAAGGCATCTTGGCTGCTGTAGGTGCAGGTTCCCAGATCAGACTTTTGTCCTGGACTAGATGCCCCATCACACACCTTCTCCCTTGGCTCGAGCTCATAAATCCCAGTGATTTTTGGCAGACCCGTGGGCAGGGGCAGGAGAGCAGAGCGCTCAGTGTGTGGCGTGACTTTTTGTCCTTAGAGCCATCCAGAGGGAGAAGAGATCACTTCTACTCTGCTGATGCGAAAGAAGAGGTTCCAGGAAGAACACGACTTGCCCATGGTCACGCATTTCAGAAGTGAGTGCTGGGGGGCGAGGACGCACAGGACTCCCTGACTGCCATGTCTCCTCTCTTCTTGTGGATTCAGCTGCCTGACTGCCATGTCTCCTCTCTTCTTGTGGATTCAGCTGCCTGACTGCCATGTGTCCTCTCTTCTTGTGGATTCAGCTGCCTTTCTAGGAACAGACTCATGACTCTCCTGCATCCTCCCAAAACACTGGCTGGAGATGAAGATATTCCACTATTTCTCTCACCTGCTCTGTGGTTCCAAGCAAAGTGAGGCATTCATTCGCTTCTGGGAGAACGAATGCCAAGAACGTCTCTTACTTTCTCCTCCCTTCTCAGAGCTGCCCCACAGAAGGAGATTATCATATAATAGCTTTCCCTTCAATAAATTTAGCTTCCAGTATTCTTTCCCTTTGTCCCCTGAAAGCCCTGGCAATTCAAGTTTTCTGCATCTGAATTCTATTTCTCCAAGCATTCGTTGCTCTCAGAAGTGGTATGAAAATACTTTGTGTGTGGTTGTGTAATCTGACTTTTTTTTTTTTTTGTGGTGGTGATGGCAGAGAGATGAGGGGAGCTAGTCTTTTCTAAAACTGTGGTAATAATAATAGTCTCACTGCCTACCATATGCTGAGAACTTACGGTATTCCAGGCTCTGCACTGAGCATTGTGCAAGCAGCATCTTATTTAACCTTTTCAGCCCTGCTAGGAGATGGCATAGTGACAAGAAAGCACAGCGCATTTTTGTCACTTGCCCAAAATCATACAATTAGAAAGTGGCAGAGCTGGATTTCAGCCTCAGGTTTCCTAAGTGCTGGGTCCTCTGCATGGCTTCACTGAACTTCCATTCCACCTTCTTTGGCCTGGAGAGGCTTTGAAACAAATCAGGCTATTTTTCTTCCTTTCTTTTCTCTTTTCTTTTCTTTTCTTTCGATGGAGTCTCTCTCTGTTGCCCAGACTGGAATACAATGGCATGATCTCAGCTCACTACAGCCTCCGCCTCCTGGGTTCAAGCAATTCTCCAGCCTCAGCCTCCCAAGTATCTGGGATTACAGGTGCCTGCCACCATGCCTGGCTAAAGTTTGTAATTTTTTTTAGTAGAGAGGGGGTTTCACCATGTTGGCCAAGCTGGTCATGAACTCCTGACTTCAGGTGATCCTCCCACTTTGGCCTCCCAAAGTGCTGAGATTACAGGCGTGAGCCATCACGCCCGGCCCAAGCAGGATATTTCTAGATTGTCTTGAAGCAAGGGCTCTGAATGCAGATTTGTTCCCGCCAATGAGAGGTATTGATGTGAGATTTAGGGAGCTAATGTGAGTCCATCCTCTGGTGGTTTGTGACTACCGTTATTGGCAGATAGTGTGGTGGTGGTAACTGGAGATTTTCCTGCAACAGGCACCCCACTTCATTCTCCCATATCTTAGATCTCAAGAGGCAGTGATGGCAGAAATGCAACAGTGCTTTGCATCTGGCATAGTCTGGCAGCAGCTGTCCAGGTCCAGGTGCCTCTGCTCTGTGTATTCTGGGAGTTATTCTGGGGAACTTCACCTAGAATTTGCTCCTTCTGCCCTTCCAGTCGTCTTACATGCCCTGGATTCCCTATATTAAATCCCTTCCTGCTTAAGATACCTGGACCGGATTTTGTCTCCTGCTTGGAGCATGGACTGATCCATTGGGTGGCATCAGGGAAACCCATTCTAGCTTCTGAGCCTTAGTTTCTGTACAATTTGCAGAGTCATAGAAAGGCTGTAATGAGGGAGTGGGAGGAAAAGAGCTTCCCAAAGGTAAGCCTTTCTGCAGAGATTGCGGCCCGATCAGAAGGTACTCTTCCAAATAGAGAACATGGGGTGTAGTTTCCCCAGTAAATGGTCCATAGTCACCCATCGCTTTCAAACCCACTACAAAACCTGCTACCTAAACAGCATGCGCAGGACGTGGAGGGCACCTGGAATATGGAACAAGGGGCAGGACAGGCTTTTAGCTCGTGTCTGTTCCTGGTCCTCTTCACTCATGATTCCATCATCTGTGCCAGCCCACCTGGGAGCCTTGCTGTGATGGCACAGTGAGGAGCTGCTGGCATGAACTGCTTAATCTTGCCCTTCTGTCTTACAGGAGGCATGGCAGAATGTCCCAGGAACAGACTCCGACTCACCATCCTTGCGATGTTGCAGCTTCCAGAAGTCTACAGTGCGGACCAGGGACCTGTGGGATCTTGTTCACCTACCAGAGAAATAAGTCTGAAGCAGACGGCCGTGGGAATGAAGCCAGCAGTCTGCCAGGATGCCTCAGCCACTGTCAAGACATGTGTGCAGAGAAACTGGACGTAAGAGGGGAGGACTGAAAGGATGTGCAAGCCACCGGGTTCAGCCATCCATTCAACCAACATTTTTTGACCACCCACTGTATGCTAGGCCCTGTGCTTACATTCAGGATTTAATAGTAAAGAAATTATGGGACTTCATTGGGCTGATACTGCTTCAGGGGAGAGAAGTGAACACAGTTATACATGAGAGTGATTAGTGCCAAATTTGGGGAAGCAAAGTGGGTGGGGTGTGTGTTGTGGAAACACAGGGAAACCATGTGATTCAGTCAAGGGCAGTCAGGGAATGATACCTGGAAGAGGTGACACATAAACCAAGACCTGATGAACATGTACCAATTTTTTTGGCAAACTAGAATGGTGAGGTGAGGGGAGAAATACTTCTAGAGAGAACAGCCTGAGCAAAGACTCTGGAATGAGAATGAGTTTATCCTAGGACTCACCCCAGAGATGTTTAGAAGTGCTGAGTCAGGAGTAATGGGGAGAAGGGCAGAGCCAGACCTCACAGGTCCCTGGAGACCAGGCTAAGGAACATGGCTTCGTTGTGGGGACACTGAGAAACCATGGAACGGTTTTGGACAGGGAAATGTGTTCTAGTTATTGATGGTTGCATAAATCCATAGAGCTTCTATTTTTCTAATAGATTATTTTTTAGAACAACTTTAAATTCACAGTAACATTGAGAAGAAAGTACAGAGGGTTCCCACATATCCCTCACCCACCAACATAGCCTCCCCCACCGTCAACGTGATCACAATAGATGAACTAACAATGACACATCATTATCAACCCAAGTTCGTAGTTTACATTAGGGTTCGCTCTTGGTACTGTACATTCCATGGTTTTTGGCAAATGTATAGTGACATGTATCCACCATCCTAATAATGTACAGAATACTTCACCACCCTAAAAGCCCTCCAGCTCCCATGGAACTTTTTTTTTTTTTTTTTGAGACAGAGTTTCGCTCTTGTTACCCAGGCTGGAGAGCAATGGCGCGCGATCTCGGCTCACCGCAACCTCCGCCTCCTGGGTTCAAGCAATTCTCCTGCCTCAGCCTCCTGAGTAGCTGGGATTACAGGCACGCACCACCATGCCCAGCTAATTTTTTGTATTTTTAGTAGAGACGGGGTTTCACCATGTTGACCTGGATGGTCTCGATCTCTTGACCTAGTGATCTGTCCAACTCGGCCTCCCAAAGTGCTGGGATTATAGGCGTGAGCCACCGCGCCCGGCCCCATGAAACTTTTTTAAAGGAAGGATTTCTGGGTTTCTCTCTCAGATCTATGGAACTAGAATCCTGATAGGTAAGACCCAGGAATTTGCATATTAATGTTTCCCCCACCTGTCTCCAAATAAAGGGTGAAATTGAGACAGCTAATACAAGGCATTGTCTGCCTCCAGAAACTTCTGGATGATACACTATCTAAGCCCTCTTCTCTGCCTTCGCCTGGAAGCCCACTTCCAGTTGACTTTAGAATCCAAGCAGTTCTCATGGGATCCCGGTGGCCTTCCCTGAATGATTGATGTTGAGAAAAGATTCTTCCCCGCTGCAAAGCTTTACGTTCCCACCAGGGCTGTTAGACTTCTAGTCTTCCTCTAGGGACGCCAGCAGAATTCTTTCAGGGGAATATGTGGTGCATGATGACCAATGTTTGGAAACACAATGAAGGGGAAGAGCAAAAATGTATCTATTTTCTGGAATGAGCACGCTTCGTGTTTACTACAGTAACCAAGATTCTTGCCTGCAATCCCAGCAGTTTGGGAGGCCGAGATGGCTGGACCACCTGAGGTCAGGAGTTTGAGACCAGCCTGCCAACATGGTGGAACCCCATCTCCACTAAAAATACAAAAACTAGCCATGTGTGGTGGCAGGTGCCTATAATCCTAGCTAATTGGAAGGCTTGAACCCTGGAGGTGAAGGCCTTCTCTTTTCAGAAAAAGAGAGAGAGAGAGAAGAAGTAATTAAGTCTACCTTCCTCCTGCCCACCCTTCCCCAACACCCTTCCAAAGCTCCATCGCTGGACCTATAGGCGTGGGTGTGGGGTTTATTGGCGTCGACGGCAGCTAAGACGCTGGCACTGCAGGCCACATGGTGCTAATCATATTACAGAGTTCACAGGCGAAGAAAGGGAGAGGAGGGAGGGGTCAAAGCAACTTTTGCCAACTCTGAAAACAGTTCCGCCCACTGCCGTTTAGCTGTGTAGGGAAGGGGCCAGATCAGATTAGGGCCACCAGTTGCCACATTATGTGTCTTGAGTCCACTAACTCTCATTAAGCTCCGAAAATCCCTTTTACGGCGTTTAGGACACCTCTGGAGGAGCTTGCTGTGTAAATATTATTCCACCATTAAATCCGACAATCAGGCCACCGTCAACAAGTGGATTCGCAATGGTTTCGCCGAGGGGGCTGCGCTGGGGGCCTGTGAAGTGCGGCCAAGGGGCTTGGCCCAGAAGCCAGCGCAAGCAGGAAAGTGCCTGATTCTCCCACGAAAGTCTCCTGCCACTAGGGCCTGCTTAATGAAACGGAGCCGCTGGGACATTCAATTTGGGCTGGGAACCAGACATGACATCAGGAGCCACTTCAAGCGAGGGCCTGCCTTAGATAACTGGCGTTCCTGCTTACCCCCCTTAATCCCACGTGGGAGCCTTGTGGGCTGCAGGCCTCCTGGTCGAGGCTGGGGCCTGCCTCGAGATCCCCCACCTCGGCGGCAGAGCAGATGTGGGCATCATTCTGGGAGGTGACTTTTTCCCAGCCGGAGGCAACTTTGCCTTGAGTGTCCTTTCTGCTGTCTGGAAGCCCAGATCCTTTCTTTATTAATTTGTGTATTGGGAGAGGGAAATGGCTGCATGACGAGCCATCGATTATTGTGGATGGATAACCCATCTGACTCAGCAGATGCTGCTGGCGCTGCCGCCGGGATGGCTGTCACTGCTTTCGGCTTTTCTTTTTCTTTTTAAAAAATTAATTAATTTACTTTTTAAGCTGATTTGCAGATTGCACTTCTGGTATGCAGTGAGCAAGGATGAAGGACTTAGAGTTGAAACGTGCCTAGCTCAGGTATGGGAGGCATTCAGTGTTCCAGAATTCTCCCTTGAACTCAGCCATGGGCAAGACAAGCCTGGTGCTCTGGCAGTGAGGAATCCCATGTTCTGGACCTACAGGGATATGAAGCGGGCAAGTCCTGGCACACAATGGGTGCCCAGTAAGTGGGGACTGAGGCATATGAGGCCCCAAGCACCACTGTGTCTGGCACATTGCTCAATGAACACTGTCTTTTTCATTCTTCTTTCGGGAGTTCGAACCCCATCTCAGTCATGTTTGCAGCTGTGTGATGCTGAGAAAATCCCTTTCCTTTTCTGAGCTTCAGTTTCCACATCTGTAAAATGGAACTTATATCTCCAACATGGAGCTGCTTAAAAAGTTCACTCATCCACACATGGGCTTGTTTAATACGTAGTTGTTGACTACCTACTGTGTGCTGGTGCTGAGGGTTTTGTGATGAATAAAATCTGGTGCAGGGTCCAGCCCCGCAGGGTCTAGTGGGTGTTCTTTTGTGTGCAGAGACTATAGATTGCAGGAAGGACATAAGGACGTGGAGATAAGAGAAGAATTCAGCTGGACCTGGGGGACCACTGCTACCAAGGTGCGGAGTCCAGGAGTGGCCCCAATGCCTGGAAATGCTGATGTTTATTGCACGCAAGGCGCGGGGGCAGGGCCGGGAGAGCGACTCATCCCGACATGATTGGTAGGGGTCAAGCAAATCGTGTACACACAATAGAGGGGGCCATGTGGGCACAGTACGGGGGTCATGTGGGTACAGTTTGGGGGTCACGTGGGTGCAGTACAGGGGGCTCCTCCATCTCAGGCAGCTGCTGCAAGGAGGGAAGGCACATACGTCCGTTTTTTTCTATGCACTTCTTAGTGGGATCAAAGGCTTTTAGAATTCCTCTATTCTTACTTCTCACAACTTCTAAGAATTTACAAGGGAGCATCGCGTGGAAAAGTGGAACATGAAAGTGGACTAGGATGGTGACCGTCACAGCACAGCACCACGGAGAGGTGTTTAAAGCCCCTGGATGTCTGCGGCCGGCCTGGCTGGTGCCAGACCTTCCTGGAGAGCTGGACAGAGCAGAGTGCTCTCTGAAATCCCCAGGGAAAGGGAAAGTCCCCCTCACAGCCTGCTAAGCAACCGACGCCTCTCCAGGCACGGGCGTTACTGCCAGGCATTTACTCTCACCTCCTCATCACATCGCACAATGTTTCTTCAATCTGGTGCTTCCCTCAGACAGCCAGTGGTCCACAGAGGAGCTGACAGGTAAATAGGATGCTCTGTCGTCAGTGCTGTGATTTGGAAGCCCTGATGAAGACCCTTAATGCAGCCTGCCTAGAGGACAGGGGGTGACCAGCAATGACCTCCTAGAGCAAGGTTTAGGGAACTACTGTCCCCAGGCCAAAACTCACCCACTGCCTCTTTTCTACAGCTCACAGCTAAGAATGGTCTTTACACCTTTAAATGGCTTTACACAATCAAAATCATCTTTCATGCCACTTGAACATTCCGTGGCATTCAAATTTCAGTGTCCATAAATTCTGCTTTCTTGAAACACCGCCACGTTCATTCATTTGCGTACTGTTTGTGCCTCTTTGCACATTGACCGTGTACTCCCACGAAGTCTAAACTATTTACTGTACAGAATACATTTTCTGACCACCGTCCCAGAGGAGGTGATATGTGAGTCCGAGCCAAAGGACAGGGAGAAATTGGTCAGCCGGAGATGGATGGAAGGGGTGAGAAGAGGTGTGCTTTGCAGGCTGGAGAAAATTCGTGGCATCTTCAAAGATGACGCAATTCCTATGCAACACACTGCAAAGCGCAGTACCAATTTGAGTTTTCAGAACAGTGGAGGGTAGGCCCATCACCAATCTCCTTAGAGAAAGTACAAGGGGAGTGATCATGACACGAGATCTCATTATTCAGCACCTATTTGGTCCGCTGTGGTTTTCCTAATCTCATATTCAATCCTCCAAATGGACCTGAGAAATGAGATCATTAGCCCACTTCACAGATGAGGA